GTCTTTGTTTCTTGTTAGGGCAAAGATGCTATTGATGACTGGCAAGTATATTTTTCCCATCTGAGTTCTAGTAGTGCGGCATGTTCCCTTTTGATTTGTGGTGCTTTAAACTCCTATGTGTGCATGTCATGTTATAAGTTCTTACAAAGACAATCTAAAATTAAACAATTTTAAAGAATTTCATTTGTAATGTAAATTGATAAAAAGACCGATTGATACTCGAAATATTAATTTCTAAAATTATTGCCAAAAAAAAAAAAAAAATTCAATACCCATGACGATTGAATAAAAGTTTATGCAAAAACACAAAAGGCACAAAAGAGATCATGAATATACATGGTATTAAAGGCCAAACCTTCTAATAAAGATCCTATATATATATATATATATATATATATATATATATATATTGAAAGGCCCTAATGAAAGGGTTTAAGTCATGGCTTCCAATCCAATAATCCTTTTCTTTTTTTGGTATGCGATTCTCCGAAGAGAACGTATAATATCTTTGGTCTTTTCTCCACGTTTTTTTGTTGGTCAGCAACCATGCAAGCGGTGATTTCCTCTTTCTCTTGAAGAAAGTTCGGCTGAGCTTCACTGACGACCTCCTAAGCTTAAGAGGCTCTGGCTCTGGCTCTGGCTCTTGAACATCTCGCCTAGTTAGAGTGCCATTTTGGAAAAATCCCAGCGCAGATCGAATCCCTTCATTTTAATTAAATCGGGTTCTTTGGTCAGAGCTTTCGGAAGCCATCTTATGACCGGCACGTTGGACCCTTTATTGATAGAGAAAAGTCTTGTCTCACAGGTTTTTCGAATTAAGCCAGGTCATGTAATACATAAGTGAAAAAAAATAATAATTGCATGCGATAACAGTGTTAGACTTAGAAATTAATCTCAAAATAATTCAAATCAATCCATAATAGGTAACAGTAACGTTTTTTCCATTTTTTTCTTCCCTCTCAAGTCCTAACCTATATATATGTTTTTTTAATATTTACGGATAGTGAGCATCGATCTTCGAACTAATTAGTCTACTTATTATATCGTCTTGCTAGCATGTTTATGCTTATGGAAAAAAAAAGCAATAATTAACAAATAGAAAAAAAAAAGGTTATATGCGTAGAAAGTGTGAGTCATCTTGAAAAAGTTCAAGCTAAACAGTTGAGATATATATTCTTTCAATTAGTGCAAACTACAGTTGAGATATTCTTTAAATTAGTACAAACCACAAAGTGAGCAGCTGAAAAGCTAGTGTGTGCTTCTAGACAGGAAAAAGAATGACGAGTTCTTATTCCATATATCATAGATTACGCATTACATGTGCAAGGATAATGTAAATAAAAATAGCGGCAGTCAAGTTTTCATTAACTATGGATAGTCTAACTCTATTCAAAATAGAGTTTTGACTATCAATTTAAATCTATGATTTTTAATCAATTTTAATTTGGATTCTATCTCGTGATGTCATCGAGGACCACTGTATGTTAATTCCACTCTCTCATTGATCAGCTACGAGGCTAGAGAATTAAAGCAATGATAAATATAATATAAAATTATTTTTAAAACCCTTTCCAACTAATTAATATTTAAATTTTAAGATTAATAGTTTTTTAATATGTTATTAGAATCTTTCATGTTCACATTGCACGGTCAGAAATTTTTCTTAAAAACCGATAACGTTAAAAATACAACATAAAACCGATTATCAGTATCAAAGTTTTTCAATTACAATCTTATCTTTGTTATAAGAAATTGTCGTCTTTCAATGAAACCCAATTTGGATACCTTAAAGATTTAAAGTATATGCTTTTGTCGACATCGAAATTTATATCCCTTTAATACCAAAAAGGAACTAACGCTACACTTTTTTGTCTTCTTGGCTACATATTTAATGGCCCATGATATGATATCGTTTATGTTAAAGAGAAGAAGTCACTTTCTTTGTTTAAACCCAATTAATATCACTTGAGGAGCGTGACTTTGATCACTTCGATTCCTTTTTGCAGTATTCAATCTCTTTTAAGTATACGAGCTCGGACCACTTAAGGAATGGAATTGATTAAAAAACGGAGTCGGTGACCCTCACAACTTCATTCGGGCAAATAAAATAGCCAGAACTTGAAACGCAGTGTGGTCCAAGCTTTTGATAGCAATGGCTATGGCACTTAACATGCAAGATGCCCTAGCTTCCAAATCACGACAATGGTGACTCGGCATGCACTTTGTCATACTATGAGTTTCACACATGAGAAGCAATAGCAAGCAATCAGTAATTATATGTATTTAGTTACCTAAGTTCCTAGGGTTCTTTTTGTTATTATTATTTTTTTAACTTTTGTCTTTAATCACTTTGTCCTGCTTAACGTAGCAGGACAGGCATGATCAGAACCTAACAGTGACAGTTATAGCTCCTTGATTAATTTGTTAATTGGCCATTTTCCCATTTATCTAAGAGGGTGGCATATTCTTATCATTTGATGAATGGACTAGTTACCTCTCCTTTCGAAATGTAACCTTTAATTTCAAAATTATTTATATGGAAAAATAAGTAGACAAAATGAATGAATCCATAAAGGAAACCTTCATAAGGGCCGGGCTAACCTTCAATGTCAGGTTTTCTTTATTAAAATCCAATGACCTAAAACCATTTTTTTTTTTTTTTTTTTTTTTTTGTGGTAATGGCATTAACTTGTTATTGTTTCTTTACTAAATTGAATTTGTTCACGAGTTTTAACATTTGACAAATTAATACTCGTGATACTTGATACATATCAAACAATTATGATCATGCGCGTATATAACTCGTGATGAATTTATTGAAATTAAAACGTCTTTTTAGGATTTAAGAGAATTAATTTGAGTAAAAAGAGTTTTAATCGTTTAAACAAATAATCTCAAGTTTGAGTCTTTATATATATAGAATATTGCTTTAATAATTATATCTGTCTTGTGCATTCGATAAAAAAAAAAATTCTAAATCTTTTAATTTGGGATATCTTGAAAGAAAAACATGTATCTTCAAGGACAAGTTGAAGCCATAGGCATGAATTTCTTGTGTGAAATCTATTTTTAACTAGTTTTGGATAATTAAGAGGATCTTTTTCTATAAAAAAAAAATGGTTCAAATTGTTGGACGTAGAGGGTCAAGCAAAAAGCGGTCCATATTCTCCTTCACTGGCAAGTGAAAATTCTATTTTATAAGCAATATATATATATATATATATATATATATATATATATATATATACATACATATCAATATATGCAATTCCTATTACATAAGCACTTACGTAATGCATATGAAGAAACTTTTGTTGTCTTCAAATGACTGTACAGATGAGATATGACCTGCTGTAACTCAAATTTAATCATTAGTTAGGCTGTATATACATAATTATCTCAAAATGAACCGTATTCTCTCTGTTTTTGTGTCTTAAATTCACATATAATGAAACTAAATTAAAACACAAAACCATAGTAAGTTGAAATGGCAGAATTTGTTGTAATCTCTTGTTACTATATATATCCATTAATTATTTATTGAGTATTATAAAAAATTTTATAATTAATACGACGTTGAAGAAATTGAGGCGAATAATTAAAGTTCAAGAACAAAAGACATACAGATATTAGTGCTAGCCTTTCATATGAGAGGAAAACTTAGGAGGTAGGTGTGTGGGGGGCTAATTAAATGGTAAAACCAATATAATTTTTGCAGAGCCCACCTATAAAATAAAAAAGAAAAGAACTGGAGGTTTGGCCGATTTGTGTTCACATAATTATAGATGTAAATACATGAACCCTTTTCCAAAAGAATAATGATCGAAGCAGAAATGCAGAATCCCTTCTCAAAAACGACGAAAAAAAAAATCAAAGCAGTACCCTTCAATCTAATTAAATAAAAGACAAAAATCAATTTAGTGATCCCCAGTAAGATCCATTAATTAAAGAACAGTAATTACTGCATTCTGGTTACGTAAAGAAACCACGAGCTTTGGATATTTGATTACCCATTAAGCATACTAGAAAAATGGATCTGAGATAGCAATGTCAGAGCACCAATGGACCAACTTATGGATATGATACTCAACCACTCAAGTGCTTAGAACATGTTAGACGAAGACAAAATTAAGCATGTAGACATGATACGGCGGTTTGGCCATAAGAATTTGATATTAAATTGCAAACCATGGGACGGTATCAACCACCAGCTTATCCATGGTTTATGAGCAAAATATTGATGCCTCGATTCCCTTTTTGCTTCAGAGAAAGAGGAGTTAGGTTTATCTGAAAAATTTTATAATATTATATATAAATAATTAATATAAGTTACTCCATAAAGAAATAGATAAAAAAAAAAAGTAAAGTGAGAATTTTCTTATCACTTTTGATAAATTTGATGTGATTTTCTTTTTTAATACATCTATCTTTATCTTGAAAATGAATTTATAAAATAATTATCGTACATATACATTAGTTATTCTTTAAGTATTGTAAAAATTTTTAAGTTTATCGTATATAATTATGTTTATACGAAAAAGATTTAAACCTAAAATCGTTTTAGAAAAAGAGATGTGAATTAAAAAAAGAATTGAATTCTAAATCTTTTTAGAAAAAAAGATACCAATATCAATTGAAGTATAATTTCGTTAATTTATCCATATAGTTAGTATGTAATAGCCACATAAATTGATTTAATTAATCTAATTAGATTGTTACTTCCGACAAACAATAGCATAGGAAAAGCACCATGGACTAGATAAAAGGAGATTAGACATTACATTCCATATATACATGCATAAAGAAAGAAAGAAGAAATTAAAGGGAACATCTAATTAAACTAATATGTGCAGCAAATTAAGGCCATCTGGGATGAGCGACAGCCACGAAAAGGGCACATGCCTATTTGACCCATTAAAATTATCAGTCTGCCAATAATTACTTCGAAGGGGCATGATCCTAGATGCATGTCCAAACACTGGTGGGCTGGTGATGCGTTTTCAGGCTTCCCTTTCTTGGATCACAACCGGTAAGCCACCTCTAACGGTGGCTGTAAAACCCGGGCTGAACCTTGGTACTTGAATCGGATCCACAACCCGAGTATTAAACCCTCGGATTATTGCAAGAACAACAGCTTTCATCTCCACAAGGGCCATTTCCTTGCCTAAGCAAATTCTAACCCCAGCATGAAAAACAGTGTACTTGAAAGGGTTTTCGGGGACAAAAACTCCTTTCTGTAACCATCTTTCAGGCTTGAATTCAAGACAATCTGGTCCCCAAATCTGCTCCATTCGACCCATTGCATATTGATGATATGTCACCCTAGTCCCTTTAGGAACAAATGTACCATCAGGAAGTATATCATCCTCTTGAGCAAACTTAGAATCAAATTGTACTGGTGGGTACAATCTCAAACTTTCATGAATTGCAGCATTTAGGTAATGCATTTCACGCATTTCTTGAAAGCTAGGAAGGTCTTGATCAGACCCCATGACTTTTTCTGTCTCCGCTCGAATTGCTGACTCTACTTCTGGATGTTGTGATAGTAACCAGAAGAAACTGGTTAGGCCTGAAGCAACGGTGTCACGACCGGCTAAGAGAAAGCTTATAACAATGTCTCGGAGATATTTATCATCAGTTATGGATGCCATGAATCTTGATAACAAATCATTGCTCTTAGAGAAGCCTGCTTTCCGCCTTTGATTTATCATTCCCTCAGCTAAGTCATTCACCTTCTTGATTGCTTCTTTGAGTTCCTTCTCTGAGCCTATGTTCAGTAGCCTCTGGAGCTTCCAAACTATTGGTGATGGCGATTGGGCTCGCTCAGCAGATAACTTTGATGCAGCATCAAAAGCTTCTCCAAATTTGCAAATAGGCAAGGATAACTCGAGGCATCCGGGGTCCAACCCAAAAGAGAATTTGCAAATGTTATCAAAAGAAAATCTTCTAAACACATCTTGCAAATCCAAAACTTGCTGTGTAGCAGTTACTGATGACAAGAGGGGAATTAGCCTGGTACGAATCTCAGTCATTATGAGATCAAAAGCATACACTCTTATCGAAACACTCCCTAATTCCAAGCTTGCCATTTTCCTCTGGAACTTCCAAGAATCACCATCAACATTAAAAATACCTCTGCCCAAAAGATCACCCAAGAGAGCAGAGAAAGGCTTCCCTTTTGGGTAGTTCTCAAATTTTGTCTTGAGCATGTGTTCAACATTATCAGGATTAGCAGTGATGATGTTGCCAAGAACATGGACATGAATAGTACCAGTTTTTGATTCACTAAGAAGGTGAGTATACCAATCACAAAGATTAGCAAAATCTTTGGTCCAGCTTGCAGAAAGATAGGTCTTGCAAACATCACAATTACACCATGGTTTCTGCCTCAAAACATAGATCAAGAAAGAAAACAAAGAGAACAAGATGGTGAAACCAAAGAAAAGAAAACCAAAAGCAGCTACAAAATCCATTCAAGAAACCAAAAAGAAAACAAAGAGGGTGTTTTCAAAGAGAGAAAAGGAAGTATAGGAAGGTAAGTGCTGAAGGGTTATGAAATGGAGGGGTCGTATATATAGCAAGATTTCTGCTGCTGTCTATCTTGGAAATGAAATGGTGGGTCGCTATGTTGCTCTCCTATCCAGTTGTGTCATTGTTATAGCTAGCTAGCTAAAGCTGTTGGTGACTGAAAAGTATAGAAAGGCGCAAATCCATCAATAGCAATGAAAGGTACAGAAAGTAGTTGCGGTATCTATTTGCATGAATAACACGTGCGTTAAATAGTTGTGTGCTTGTCATGTCCTATTTAGGAAAAGACATTCAGCCACGTGCTCTTGCAAACCTTTCTTGTTTTTTCTTCTTTTATCTTTGGCGACACTTAGTAGGGTTGTGCATTTTGTTTTTCTTAGAATCTTTTTTTCCTCATGTCGGCTTGATTGTGTATATATCCCATATTTTCATGTTATGAATAGTACATTTTAGGCATAGTTTTAAAAATCCGACCGCATTTGAATGGGTAAGAATTTTATCCGACTAAAGCCAATAAATTTGGCTAATCCAATCAAATTCCTTCAAAATCCAATCGGCTCAACAGTTGATTTTGAAGGAAAAAAAATTGCTTAGAGCACTAGAAATTTAGCTTTCGTGATCTTTTATTAACTAAATTTTTTTGTCAATTCATTAATACCAACAAATATAATTAATGCAATTGAGTTTTGATATTATATATAAATATCATTTATTATTATCATTGATCTACTAGTTAATCCAATAATAACTCCATAGACTATGGCATGATCTAGTGATCCAGAATTTTGATCGACTACGCGTAACAACTATCATTTTTAGAAGAAGTCTTTTTCTTTTTAAAAGATTAGGATAGTTTGACGCCAGCCTTTTCCGTATCGTACCTACACTAAATTTTCAATGGAATTGGTGACAGATGAACCGTGCTATTTTCTCTATCAACGAAAAAACATTAAATTAAATTATTGATCATGTAAAAATGAAGAAAAATTTTGCTTTTCAAACCAAAAGTTTGACCAGTTCACTTGAAAACAAATAGTAATTGAGAAAAGTTATAAAAAAGTAAAATAAAATAATCCATTAAATATTTTTTAAAAGTAATATGATTGACAAATTTTAAAATACTCATAAAGTAATTAACAATACTTGATTTATAATTTATTTTAGTAAAAGCATACATAACAAAAAATTACATCTAAACTCAAAAAAAATTACAAAAATATTTCTACTTAGATTTTTTTTTTAATTCTCTCTCTTATTTTTTTTCTTATTAAATAAATATCATTAGCTACATAAAAATTCTCGTCAAGTGGTCACAACACGGTCAACAAGGTGTAGATCATTTTTTGTTATTGCCAACTCCTTTTTCTTATGAAAATAAAAAATAGACCATTTCTTGATATGTGCATGTCAACTCTTATCAGCAATTATTATTATTTTTTTTATCTAAAAATTATATTGGTGCATTAGACTGTGGGCAGCACGGATGAAAGAAGTAATCAATTTTCTTATTTCTTGAGCGTAGAGCCATTCCTAACTGGGCAACATTCTCGGCAATTTGACAGATCATTCAGTGCTTAAGTCGTCATGTGATACCATTATTGCTTCAAAATAATTAAGAACACGTTTCTCTGACTTGCTTTGCACACAAAACAAGCTTTACCTGCTTGCATCCCATATCCAGGTACATTGAATAAAGATCTGCCATTGGATTAAATGTTTGAATCCGATTTAAATGTTAGAACAATTAAAACGATCAGTAACATTGAAAATTTTGCAACAATCAATGCGTGTATCTTGGCCCAAACATCAAATGGGATTCTACCTCTTTCTAAAATATATATATATATACATATCTTTTCGTTTTTCGTATCAAATTAAAAAAAAATCTAAAAAAATTCTAAGAGAATTGTTTTAAATAGAAAAGGTTCATTGTTTAATAAAATGATCTTAATTTTAAATCTTTATATGCGTAAAAAATTCTTTAAATATAGTACTTGTTTTGTGTGCTTCATCTGATAAAAAAAATTAATTTGAGTTTTTAAACTTAAGATAGATAAAAAAAATTATTAATTATTATGTAATATTTATATTTTTTTGGTTCATATTTTTTAAAAATACTTTTTTAATTATAATTAAATATTTTTTTATAAAATATACTTTAATTAAAATTATTTTTAAAAAATACGTCACTTAAAATTCTGACTACATGAAACAAATATAAATTAAAAATAAAAAAAATGAAGTGGTATTTATAAGAAAATTGGACATTCTTTATCTTTTATCTGTTCATCTTATCAATGCAGCTTATCCTTAATTACCTTTACTAATGTGTCACAGTACATTCCTTTTTGAGAAATTTTGTTTTTTAGTTTTCTTAGATAATCTTAATTAGTAGTAGTAGTAGTATATAATTTAGTTATGCCTGTTAGACAATTTGAATGGATGTAGTTATTATTCCTTTTCTTTAATCATAATAAGGGAAAACGTGATATACTCATCCCCCAGCGACCGTGTGATTCTAGACTAGATCCTTAAGCGTGTATATATATATATATATATATATATATAATGCTACCCAATTTATCGCATCATTACAAAAATCATGTTTCAAGACAGATTTTATAGGCTATAAAACACTAATGGTCTTGATCTTATTATTCGAATGCAATCAATTTAAACTGTGTAAATAATTTGGTAAAATTAAACTCTATAATTCTAATTTTTAGTTATTTAAGCTCTTTGTGCTATATATATATATATATATATATAAAATTGGCCATGAACGAATAAAGTTAACTTAATCAAGAGCCAAAATAAACGCTATGTGTACAATCAAAATTGAAATAAAAATAAAATATTGGCAATGATGTGGTAATGGTCGTGGCACTAAAATGATATTATTGGTAGGTAGGAGCTGTTAGATGACTGCGGTAGTGAAAAATGTGATTTTTTACAGTAGTTTCTAGTAAAAAATCATTTTCGATTTTTAGGAGACTGAGAATATTTATAAAAGAGACTATATTTGTATATTATATTTTAGATTGCTCAGGGAGTATTAATCAAATTTTCAAAACTCATCAAACTTTTAGTTTTTTTATATTAATAATAAGATATTTTCAGAACAACTTTAATATACTCATTTTAAATTCCTCTCTTATTATATTTTACACAATATAATACTATTTAATGCCCTCTCATTAGTTTTATGGCCTCCAATCCTCTTCCTTAAAACTTTGCATGCTTAAATGTCATCTCTAGATTGTTTGATTAGAGATACTCTCTATGTTCTAAATAAATTATCTCTTTTTATATTTCTATATGTCTCAAAATGTTTGTATGGCTAAATTTTTTAATATTGTATTTTCTTAAAATATATCCAATTATAAGAAAAATCAATTATTTCTTATTTTTCCTCCTTAAACAAACAAATAATAAAGTACCGTTAGAAAATTTAATATTATTATTAATAAATTTCTTAAACTATGTGAAAAATCAAAAGATATTATTATTTTAAACAAAAAAAAGTAATAATTATAGAAGTAAAATTCTAATTACACGTACGTTATTACAATCGCTCATGCAAAAGACAATATCTCCTTTTATCTCTATTGTCAAGATTCCGGCGGTCAATATATAAAGCATCGCAATCCAAGAAATTTTCAGAGGCCTAGCTAACATAGTTTTAGCCTTGAACCTCAAAATTCAATCATCAGAATTAAGAATTGAGTACTTAATTGATTGATTCAGATATTTCTTTTAGGTCGGCAAGAGTCAGCTTGTCTGGCACATGTTCAAGGGGGATGGACCACGTAGAGACAAACTAAAATTTGCTTTGTCTTTATGTTTATCTTATTTGGGTCCAAGATTCAAATCATTTTTTTCCTCCAAAATCTTTTGTCTGGTTCAAATGTTCACAGTAGTTGCAAAAAGTTTAAGTAATCTAACGGGGCAGATTGATTTATTAGTTTAAAAGGATGCAAATGCCGTCCCACAAACGAACATGGAGCACGCATTCAGATGGTTGGTGGAAGTTGAAAAGAATTAAAAAAGAGGTTTGTAATACATGATCTAATAGACCTTAATTAAGGTAAATAAATATTAGACTACATAAAGTGTCTGCAGTTAGGGCTACTTTGTGTGTGTGTATATATATAAATTGAACATTTTCCTTGCTATAGCAAAATATCAAAAAAATCATTTTTAATTCAAAAGTTTTTAGATCTTTAGTGGTGGAGTTTTAAAAAACGCTTAATAACATACTTATATGCATAAACGAGATCCCTCTTTCGGAATTAAAAATTGTATGAAATTATTGCAATCCTGTATTAATTAAAATTTTAATTTAATTAAAAAAAATATGAATAATAGGATTTGATTTCGTCAAAGAAGCTTTGGACCCCATAAGTTAAAATCTTATAATGCTAAACAAAATTGCAAAAAACGTATTTTATAATATAGACATCACAAAAAAAAAAAAAAAAAAAGAAAGGTGTCCATTGTTATGAATCGATCGCTTTGCTTTAAAAACTCAAATTAACGTGCATGTTATGCATAAAGTTGTACCACCAACGCAATCATCCATAAAAGAGAAATGTTTTTCTTCATTTTTTTCACTTTTCGTAGTTAGCAAATGCCTTTTTTCTATTTTCTTACAATAATGACTTAATTTGCCAATACATTACAGCTTATAGTTTAGCAATAATTGATCAATTTGATGTGGAACGACGCGTATTTTTGTTAATTTTCACCAGACAGAAAAAAAGTTGGTTTACGAGTGTTCGGAAATTGTTTCAAAATCATGTTTTGAAACTGGCAAGTTCGCTCTCAAAACCTATATAAGGGCAGACATCACATCACTCTCTCTCTCTCTTTTTCCTTATATTGAAAATAAATAAAGTAGTATGAATTACTTTTATCTATTTATTTTATTGCTGCTTTTGTATGG